TTGCGTATTTTTTAAGACCAATACATTTGCAGTTTTTCTTGTTTGTTTGCTATTGCAATTATCTGTCGAAATCAGTCGACGTTTCATCCCTAACGCAAGTGAGCAAGCACTACAGTTTGATGTAATCCTTACGTCATGAGATTGTAGTTGGAGAAACCGAACATAACGAATATTTAAGTTCTGAGATTGAGTGTTTCTGAAAGCAAAGATTAGAGACGATATATAAGCACAATAACCAGCATTTATTTAAATCGTTTCACGAATTACGTTTTTAAATTAGCAGTATTTTCTATATAGTCTGCCGATATTGCGGGGCACGTGAAGTGTAGGATTACGTGTTCTCATTGAAAACTTGATCATAGTCACTACTTTACTGAGAACATAAAATGTTGCATTTTTGCATAGTAACAATAAAGTTGCTATTATAACAATACATTTGTCACAGTTTACACGTTAAGCGACACAGTTCATACACTGCGGTTGCCATGTTTAAGAAGCCGTTACGCTGTAAATCTACGCTGTAAAATTAAAAGTATTTTAACTATTATTTTTTAAATAACAATAAGCAGTCCAATACATTTCATAAATTTAATTATATTCTTGGAACCTATTTTCCTACTTATTCAAACATTCATAAATATTTTTAGGTAAATTGACTTTTTTTCTAAAATGTTTAATACTCAATAATAAAATGTTTCACTGTAATTTCTTAGGATACCAATTCTCACACACAGTGAATAGTACCTTTTAATATTGAACTACAAAATGGTTATACAAAATTTTTAATTGTGTTCTTATGAAAATTATAATATTTATTATACTTCCTAACCATTCATCCTTAAAAAAAATTAATATAAGAATGCAAACGTATGTTTGCACCTTACCCGTTTCCACCGTCGCTCTAAAAATTCAGCAGATAGCTCGGGCTGCCGTAAAAACGTTCGAAGACCAGCCACAAATCACGACAACCATTCACAGTCACCTGCAGCTCCCACGTCAGAGCACAGTTGCTGTAAAATGGGAGAGCCATCTATCATGTTAGTGAATCAGGCTGCAGTCCATCTCTAACTACGGATGCTTCAATAGATGAAGAGATATCTCTTTTCTCCGACCGCTAGCGATCGTTGAAAAAAATAAAGTGATCGGAGGGTATTTAGCAATCTCAAATTGTTAAGAGGCTTAAGCAAACGGACCTTTTACGTATCTTAGGTATTGACGTGAAAATAACTAGCGTTTGTATTTACAAGTACGCATCTGAAGCAAACTACTCCGGGAGTTTTGATTTTTTCACTTGGACGAAAATATTGTTTCTTTTATTCTAAAAACTGCCTTTTGATATTTTACTTTGATATTTAATATACCTGAATATACGTATGTAACAACTGTTTAACGCACGAAAAACCATGCATACTTTTTAATAAATCATTATTCATTATAATATTCATGCATGTCTTAAATAGTTGCTGAAAATTATATAAATTTATTAAGAATCACGCACAGTGTATATTAAAGACAGTCTATCAATCTACTATCGTCGTATATCATACCGTTGTTTGTCACTAAGATTAGGTATTCGAATGATCTAGTTTCTGTGCGTTCTTCCGATGTTTGGTGTTTTTAGATGGCCAATAAAAGAACCAGTTGAATAATAAGAACATACGTAATAGTAATAATAAACGATTCATGCTAATATTAATTATTTGCTACACATTTACCTCAAATGTAAAATTGTGAAATAAGTTAATTCAAAATGTCATACACGTTGAGAAATTACACTTCTTTAAACGTACTGGAACCATACGAATGTGTCAAGCACATTATTTCCCAAACCTTTTGTCTTACATATCAACTGTTAAGTAATTACATCAAAATGTGACCTATATTAAAATGATCCCAACTGTTTGCCTGAAGAGAAGAAGTAACGCTGAGTATTCCATCAGAATGCTCCTATCATTGAAGCCTCTAGGGAACAATTACTGCCAGAACTCGAGAATTACCCTTCATTTTGTTGTATCATTACTTAAAAAGTCATATTGCAGTTCAAATGTGAGTGTAAATATGCTTTTTAGATTTAATCAATTTCATCTACATTCGTAGACTCCTAGCACTTACTATATGATGAGTGCGAGAGATCTCGTTTCTACTCATCATGAACTTTAATTAATGAGATATTCATTATTGAACATAAAATACATGTATTCTACGTGTTTTTTTATGAATGCTATATACTCATATGTAATAAATCAATTGACATTCAGCTTGTTTGAATATGTTCAAAATTATGCTTCTAAGATCACGCAAGGGATGTATGTGACTTAAAACGCTTAGATTTGTTCTAAAATAGCTTATGAATCGCCCATTCTAACAACTAATATGAATCATTACCAATGATTCGGAAAGTCAGCTATTGTCTGCTAGAACCCTTCAACGATGGCATGATCATGCATGGCGGTGATTACATATCAGCACTAAACAATACATATTCAATGTGTTTGACGAGAAGAGCTCGGAGGCCGTCTTTTGAAGTGTTTAGTTGTAGGTTAGATCGGAAACTGTATACCAGCATCATGAGGTGAATTAATTCCATGAATGTTATCGAAATATTAGACTCTTAACTCCATTTATCAAGTAATTTTGATTTAAAATTATTATTATTAATTTTCTATAATTTTATATTTATTGTATTAAATTTTACAAATTTTGAATAAATTTGCAAAATTCATCAAACATAATGCATAAAATCATTAGTTTTTCTTTCACGTAATACAAAAGAAGTCCATAAATATTAATACATGGTAAATGTTAATTTGTGATTAGGTGTAAAGTTCAGAAATCAATTTTTACACACAATACTTACAAACAAACAATGATTGAGTTTAACATTCTATTAGTTTCATGCACGTTTCACATTCACGAGAAGTATTGTGGTCCAAATGGCTTAGACATATTTCACGTCTTAGGTTTTCTTTCCTTTAAATTTCTGCTTGTGTTTGTTTCGTATGCAAATATTCTGTTTTGTAGACATGAACTATAAAGGAAATCCTGATTCTATTGACTTCAGAATAGACTTCAGAAGGGCGAACACAATGCAACTGATTTATGCAATTATTAATTTCAGTGATTTCTAAAAGTTTCAGAAATTTATTTTGCTTCTGAAAGTTGAACGTACCTATTTGGATATAGTCACAGGAAATGAAAATTATTGCAAGGCCTTCGTGGCCGATGCGCCGTCTTGTCAACGCGCGTCTATTGTAGAAAGGCGCTCAAGAGCTTTGCGACCCCAGATAACCCCGCGAGAAAGTACGAATTTCTGAGAATTGACACACTCACCCTGCAATCACGAGATGAGATTTATAGATAAAACATCCAGGAAAAGGTACTGAGAGGGTAGGGTATACGGTATTCCCCAACAGAATCGTACATGGAATAATGCCTAGGGTCCAAATTGCCCCGAGCAACCCCTCTTTCGGCGGCGGCGCCGATGATGTAACGATTAACCCAAGTTTCTACCCAAGTTCATGAGTTCAAACCCGATCGAAGCCGCGGATTTTTAAGGGCTAAAAAAATCCTACGTACTCTTTCCTTCTAAGGGCAAATAAAGCCGGCTGACCAATGCTACTAGATGTAAAAGCATGTAAAAGATCATGTAAAAGATCTACGTAAAATATCCATGAAAAATATGCATGTAAAAGATCCTCAAGCCTAAATGACGCCTCTGAGCTAAATTCAAATGACTTGTTTCGGCACCCGAGTAATACCTCCTTTCTCCGCTAGTGGGTCAAAGGAGCGTAGGGAAATTGGTGTGGTCAGACGGAAGAGCAGGCCTCATGGCCCGAGACTCGCCACACAAATAATTCAATCGTTTTCCCGATATACGTAGCATTGAGGAATAACCCATCAACAAGTTTACAAATCAGGACTCTTTCCATCAGCGAGTTTACAGATGCTTCGTGGGACCCTGCGAGTAGCCTTGCTTCCTGCAGTCGCACGGGTCGTTAAGGGGCGAGAGGGGAGAGCACGGTTCGTTAAGGGGCCGAGCGAGGATCGTTCCTTTCCTCCTCTCCCGGACACGCGCCAGCACTCGCGAGGACGTGCTCCGGCCAGCCAACCCTCGGATCCCGCCCTCCCGCCCTCCCGCCCTCTCGCACTGCCTGCCGTCCTCGACCTGTTCCCTGCCGCTTTGCGTCCGCCCGCCGCTCGACTTGTACGCACCCACCCTCCCGTCTTGACACTCTACTGTCGCCCGCACCACCCATTCGCCCGTGTTTCATCCACCAACGCACACTGTCCATTTCCTCGTGACGGACGGTCACACGATTAAATCCATTTTCTCTGCACCAACACCTCTCTCACAACCTCCTGAACCATCTGCCTGAAACTGCACTATCGGACTCCGGCACCACTTCTTCACCTGTTTCACCACCAACCACAGCGTTCCATTCCTGCCCCGTCTAGGCTGTTCACTACTGCATTAACTCCACTCTCTAGCTTTCACCAACGCTCCTGAATCCGTCTGCCTGAACTCACCTTCTGACCGGCACCATTCTTTCACGTGTTTTAAACCCACACTGTTCCATTTCTTCCCTGTCTGACCGTTGCAGCAGCTGGCTCTATCCTTGCGGAGTGCGGCCAAACGCGTCATTACAAGAACCAACCATCCTGCAGCCGCTGCTGCTGATCTCACTATTGACCCGATAAGCATTCTCACATTTGGTTTCCACCCCCCGCCTCTCACACTCTCCTGCTCAGGCTTTTTCAGCAACCGAGGGGTTCACTCTCGCACCGTCCTCGACCCATGCACGATTCTTCTGGTTTGTGCCATCCACGTGCACCAAGCGTCAATCTCTTGATGTCCTTGCAGCACCGTTCGTGCAGCAATCATTGTTTGGCATTCAATGTCTCCGCTCTCTTTTCAGCCTGTATCTGCTCTCTGGTTGCAGGACAAAACAACAACGAAAGATAACGAAAAAACAAGCAAACATTAAAATAATCTTCAGCAGAGACTTCCCATCGCTGCAATGTCACTTGCCTTGCCAACACCTACCCTTTCTCAACAACCAACCCTCGGCCACCGCTCGACCATGCCGGTCCCCTGCGGTTCGCCCTCCCGCTCGTCCTGCATCGCTCACCCGCCCAGCTCAGTCCTGCCCGCTTACGCGACTGCCCGCTCACCGCGCCCCCTCTCACCCGGCCCGCTCATCCCCGCCCGCCTCACCCCCGCCCTCATCCGCCCGCTACCGCCCGCTCATCCCCGCGCGGCCTCATCCGCCCGCTCATCCCGCCGCACCGCTCATCACTGCACCCCATCCCCGCTCATCGGCCCGCCGCCTCACCCACGCTCATCCCGCCTACCCCCGCCTCTACCCCGCCCGCCACCCCGCCCCCCATCCCGCCCGCTCACCGCTATCCCGCCTCGCTCACCCTGCCCACTCCCGCCCGCTCACCGCCGCCCGCTCAACCCTGCCTGCTCACCCAGCGCACTCACCCTGCCCGCTCACCCCCCGCTCACCCTGTCCGGAAACCCTGCCCGCTCACCCAGCGCACTCACCCTGCCCGCGCATCCTGCCCGCTCATCTCCCCACTCACCTTGCCCGATCACCCCCCTCCTCACCCAGCGTCTTCACCCGACTTCCAGGCCGCTGCTCTTCCGTGTTTGGCCCCCGCCACGCACTTTCGCCGCCCGCCCATCACTTCCCCGTGCAACTGCGTTGGTCGCGAGAGCCAGGCTTTCTTTGGTGCGAACTTTCTTTTGCGCGGGAGCTTTATGTTTTAGCGGATATTTAAGGGCACTAGTTCCTTTTATTCCGCAGACGCTTCTTCGGAGACCTGAGTAAGTTTTAAATTACTCTGTCTTTTTTCTCTTTTATTGTACGACGCTCTATCTCCCGGTTCTCACTTTCCTTATTACTCTCCCGCTTCTGTAATTTGCTGGCTCCTACGTCGTCTCTCTTCCTGTCACATTTTCTGGCTTTCGCGTACTTTCCCGTGACTTACATGGTCGTTTTATAAATGTTCGCTTTATTACATAACAATTTTATACATTCACTTTTAACAGACATTTTTCAGTTTTATTATACTGTAATAATTAAGTTTATCTGGTTTTGTAATCAGATATGGCGTGTCTTTGATTGATTTTCGTAAAGTATTTTTGTCAGATTAATGCAATTCGCGGATGCTAATTAAAAGGGGACGGATATTGACGACCTAACATAATGTCAAAAATGAACAATAAAATGCTTTTAAAATGCTCCGAAAGCAAAGAAAATGTCGTAAAATTGTGCCCAAAACCGGTTTCGATGAACTACGTAAGTTGGATACGTCACTGATGTATTCGTTGCTTCTATTCGTTGAAGTAATCTCAGCTTGAAAAATTTTGGTTTGGACTGTTATTTCTTTGCCAAGCCTGAGGGGTTGGTTGTTCGTTGGCTAGGGGTCTCGCTTTCAACGGCGCAACCCCATGTTCGATTCCCGGTCGGGGTAAAAATTAATTGTGCGCTTTCCTTGCATTATACCAGTATCTATTGCTGTGTGAGGATGAGAAAGCTCACTTCTCAGGTTTAGAATACCAGAAATACGGCGTAGGGATGGCTGAGTGCTAAACACACGCTCTCCTTAGCCCACGACCGCCAGGCCGGAAACGCTGTTGGTAGGCCTTAGCTCGTTAAGAGCTGTTGTGTCAAAGTACGTACATACATTCTGTTATTTACCAGAAAATCGGTTTTCAGTTATCCCGAAATCGGTCGAGTCGACAATGGTGCTGATAGGAGTCACAGGACCCTTTTATAACATACAACGACTGACATTCCAATTTCTGAGCAAAGAAATTGAATAGGCTACTTAGGAATTTTGTGGAGAACATTTGTTGCGTCTCGTAATTATTATTTGAAGCAAACTCTAATGAAAATGATTTTTAAATCGATTATATCAGCATAAAATTCATTAAAAAGACAGGAAATGTTAAACGTGACTTATTAGTTGAAATCAACAAAAAATGTAAAAATGCTTAAAAATGGATCATTGTCTTTTGTCATAACATAGAATTAATGCCTATACTAATCGGCATTTTTCTAAAGTGGAGAGAAAAACATTTTATTAAAATACGCTTTCTATTAATGAATGAAAACACAAAATATAACTTCATTAGTTGTAAATATGTTTATTGTGTACGTGTAGTAATAAGGTAATATGCAATTAAAAAAGAGGACACATCTCTTAAAGCTCTACTCGACCGCATCACTTTTATATTCCCTATTCTGCGGGAATCAATAGTCGAAAACAAACTTTCTATATTCGGAACTGAGTATCAAGCTGACAGCCCCGACGCTTTTGCATATTTACTTTTGTTTTTTATCATCACATCAGTATTGAATGCTGTCAGAGAAAATTACCTTTCCGAGTTTATTCTATTATTTTCTGCAAAAAGATAGCAAAATGTCAAAAAGTATTCCATCAGAGGCTAAAAATATTCCACGAGGGGTCGAACAATTTGTATTAATCACTATAAAATATCGTGAAATAAAAATGATTAATATAGGTTTCTGCCTGAATGTGTTAGATCAGATATTAATTTTAATTTTATATTAATTTGTTAAACAATCTTTACCATCTAAAACTATTAGTGATTCTTTGCGATTATATTGATTTACGTTGCGTCTCTCACGTGCTCTTTTCTTGTACGCAGCCGCGGGCCAACCAGAGTTTGCAACGGGCCCCGACCAGTACAACACACCTGCACCTCTACCCGCCGCCCCGGCCGCCACGCCACGTCCAAACACGGTCTCCGCCACCCACGCCCGACTCGGAGGATTGACGGACCGACGACGACGATGAAACGAGACGACTCGGTCGGACGACGACAGAACAACGACGGTACGCGGGAGACGACGGCGACGAGAACGACGGCGACGAGGGTAAACGCGACGACGAGCCTGCGGACGGCGGGGCACGTCGCCTCCCACGACGGCGGCCACGCCCGTGCCGCCTCGACCCGTCACCGCCGCCCCGCGTCGCCGGCCGCCCCCGCGCCCGCGCAGCCGCGCCGCCCGCCCGTGCCCGACGACCAGCTGCCCGGCGCCGACGAGGTCAGTGCACGCGCAGCTGCGCGCGGTCAACGCGCGAGCCTTGGGACTACAGGCTGTGTTCAAAAACTTTGCTAGCGACTGTACAGACAGGGTGACTCAAAATTGTAGTGCATGTACGAGTTTCGAACATGATCACTTGTAGTGGGAAAGGTCATAAAAATTGCACATAAGACAATATTACAAACTTGTTACAATATTACAAACGCGTGAGCCCTCGGTCTACAGGCTGCGTTCAAAAACTTTGCTAGCGACTGTACAGACAAGGTGATTCAAAATAAGAAATACACACTTGTAGTGCACGTAAAATCTTTCCAACATAGTCACTTGCGGTTGGAAATGTCATACGAGTTGCACCCGAGACAACATTACAAACATGTGGAGCACATAGAAGGTTTGAAAATGATCATTTATGGTAGCAAAGGTCATAAAAGATGCACCCAAGACAATATTACAAACTTGTAGGCTACATAGACGTTTCGAAGATGATCATTTATGGTGGCAAGGTCATAAACGTATTACACTTGTAGGACACACAGAAGTATTGAAGATGATAACTTGTGGTGGAAAATGTCATAAGAGTTGCACACGAGACTTTATTACAAACTTCTGGGTTACTTAGAAGTTTCTAACATGATAATTTGTGGTGGGAAATGTCATAAAAATTGCACCCGAAACAATATTACATACTTGTAGGACGCATACAAGTTTCGAAGATGATTAATTAGGGTGGGAAGATCATACATGTTATACACAAGACAATATTACGAACGTGTAGGGCACTTAGACGTTTCGAAGATGATCACTTGTGGTGGGAAATGCGCACGGGTCATTATTACATACGTCTGAGGCGTATGGACGTTTTCAAGATCATGCTGTGCAAAATGTCTTAAAACCATGTTATATTAAGTGACTGGTGCTGGTTAATAGCCAACACATCATACACCGATGTTCGGCAGGTCATGTGCTAAAGAAGTCAAATATATTTCGAGTACTGTCAAATGCAGCATGAGGGGTAGCGTACCAATCAGAGGTACACAGAAATACGACAGTTTGTTCATTGTTTCTCGAATGTATAATTTTCAGGGGATCTTTAAATCAGTTACTATCACTAAATAATCCACGTTGGTATCGTCAACTCTAAAGCTTGTAATTAATCAATAAGGGATTTTGATGTTTTAACCGTAATTATTCGATTTTTGGAGTTTAAATAAGGGTTCGCACAGAGAATTCGATGTGTAGAAGTAGGAACTTCGACCAGCTGCTAGTTTGACGCGCTACCTGACATTAGGAGAGACATCAATTTGACTGGTTAACATATGTTCAAGATAAAAGTAGTGGAAGAAGATCGAATATTCATTCACTTCATTTATTACGATTATTATTATTATTATTATTATTATTATTATTATTATTATTATTATTATTGTTGTTGTTGTTATTATTGATGAGCTTTTCCAGGCGCCACGTTTTAGTGCATTTTCCATTTTACACCTTATTTTTGATATTAATATTGTACGAGTTGTGTTATGTTTAATCATTTTGAACTTCATATACTTTCAATTGTAATGAGTTTCAATACGCAGAGTTCTTTTATGTTGTCTTACTCGATGTTAAGCTGTGATTTTTAATCAAAGTTAAATTGTATTAGCAAAAAGACTGACCCATCAGACGATTCAGAAGAGGTTTATTAATTCTTGAATGGGTGCGCCCGGACTACATACACTACCGGGCACTCATTGAACTCCGTGCAACAGTTCGTAGGGAGGAAAAATCTGAACATATAAACGCAGTAAGATGCACTTCATATCATTTGGATCGACGAAAAAGTGATGGTTTTTCATTTCCAAGAATAACACTATTTCAATTCTATTGCGTAGTCAATTACAATTCAATTCATTTCATCGACACTTTTGATCACAGTGTATAATTTTTCTAACTGCACATTTCATTAATGGCAAGGACCTCCTGCTCGCGCAGGGAATTACTAACACTTCTTTAATGAAGTGATAGGGAGATAATGAGGGGTCAAAGGACGATCACAAATACATTCATGCCAGAGGCGGGATTGGAACGCGCGATTATTCGATCCGAGTTCGCCACGACACTACTGCCTTAGCGATTTTGGCTACTCGGATTGGGGAGTATCATTTCCTCAAATTCAAAGAAAGAAATACAATTATAAATGCACATTCTGAGCTCTTGGCATATAAACTGCACACACATTTGACAACTGAGTGTCGATAGGTTTTTTGCTCCGCCTAGCACATTTTTTCGTTTTTTTGTGTAATTGTTGTGCTGCACAATTCTTCTTGTAATAATTCTGACTCAGAAATGCACAATTGCTCAAAGACAGGGCTAGAATTTGTACTCTTTTAATCACGTAACTTTCAAACAAAGATAATGATAAATTGCTCATAAATTGTTTGTGGCTGATTAGACAATCGTAATTGTTGCATTTCAAGACAAAGTGTGCATTTATCCTTGCAATGCTCATAAATTCAATTTAAACATTCGTTCCCTCCGGATAATTCTCTTTGCGAATTACTCCTCTATTTGTGGCAATATAGGTCGCTATACATACCTCTTCATAGAGGTAGGTCTATTGTACAATTCAGTATTAGGTTTCTTGGGCCTGGTTGAAAGTAGGGCTTTAT